AACCTTCCGATTCTAATGGAACCTGAGTTCAATGGTCTCCTACTTCCTGAAGGAGGTGAAAGTATAATGTATATAGTGAGTTATCTCCTCACTAGACTGAAGGGTAGAAAGCAGGTTTTACACATTTTATCCGTCCTGCAGTGAGCTTAGTGGTTTAGGATTAATCCTGGTGAGCTCATCCTCTGGAACCCAGGACAGCTGACCCAAGATGGGCCACAGGCCCAGTCGTCTGAGGAAGTCCAGTAGGCAGGCAGGTGTAGGACATGCGATTACTTCTCGGTTAACCTATGGGCTCCTTTCCCTTCTCCTAACCTTGGTTGGTGTGTGTGTATGTGGGGGTTGGAGGGTAGCTTGCCTTAGAGGCAGAGGACTCTATGCAACTTATATGCTGTGTGTCCTTGGTGGCCAAGCCAGCCTCTCTGGCCCTCGGTTTTCTCATCTATAACATGGGAATAGGGACTTCCTTGGTGGTGCAGTGGTTAAGAATCCGCCTGCCAATGCAGGGAACACGGGTTCGAGCCCTGGTCCAGGAAGATCCCACACGCCGCAGAGCAACTAAGCCCGTGCGTCACAACTGTTGAAGCCCGCGTGCCACAACTACTGAAGCCCGAGTGCTTAGAGCTCATGCTCCGCAACAAGAGAAGCCACCTGAATGAGAAGCCTGTGTACCACGATGAAGGGTAGCCCCCGCTCGCCGCAAATAGAGGAAGCCCGCACTCAGCAACGAAGACCCAATGCAGCCAAAAATAAATAAATAAATAAAAGAAAAGAAACGACATGAAGGAAACTTAAATGCATATTCCTAAGTGAAAGAAGCCAATGTGATGCTGCAGAGCAACTAAGCCCGTGCACCACAACCACTGAGCCTGCGCTCTGGAGCCCGCGAGCCACAACTATTGAGCCCACGTGCTGCAACTATTGAAGCCTGTGTGCCTAGGGCCCGTGCTCTACAACAAGAGAAGCCACAGCAATGAGAAGCCCGCGCACTGCAACGAAGAGTAGCCCCTGCTCGTCACAAGTAAAGAAAGCCCATGTGCAGCAACGAAGACCCAATGCAGCCAAAAATAAATAAATTTATAAAAAACAAAACAAAACAAAGAAGGGAATAACAGCAGGGGATGGCTGAAAGCAGAAAATGAGTTAGTACATACAAAAGGTCCAGAGCTGCTGTACCATGCCCCCCGTCCCCAGTGTCCCACCCTTACTGAATCAGCTCCAGCACCCGCCTCTTCATGGCCCGGACCAGGTCCCGCTGCCCGCCAAGCTCCTCCTCATACATGGCACCCTTCCTTTCAGCCTCCTGTTGCTTGTGCTCCAGCTCCGCCTGTAGCCGGGCCCTCTCTTCCTGACACCTGGGCGCAGAAGGAAGACTGAGTTGTGAAGGGAAAAGCGCGGCATGTGTGTCTGAGCTGGGCTGGGCCTCTGCCTGACAGGGAGCCCCACCAGGGAAGCTGGTGATGCCCCCTGCAGCTGAAGTGAGCACACACACATGCACACCACACACCATACATTCACAACACAGAACACACACACCACACCCAGCACACATTCACAACACATACAGGCACACACACCACACTAGACACCACGCACGCACACCACACATATGACACAGCACACACACACTACACACGCCACAACATATACCACATACCACACACACATCATAACACACATCACACACATGTACATAACACATACCCCCCCCCCCCCCCCAACATACACACCACAGTGAACCAGGCACTGTGTGGCCTGACACCTATAGATTGTCTCTCCATCAACCGCTCAGAGCAGTGAAAACAGGGCCTCGCCTTGCCTGTTCCTTTAGAGGGCAAAGCCAACATTTTCATTTGTTTTCCTTCTTTTTCTTTTTTTTTTTTTAAACATTTCCATTTTAAAATGTAATTTCTGGAAGGCATGTTCACAATCCTGGCAGCTCTCTGGGGGGAAGTGGGTGTCTGGGAACCCAGGCCAGACGGGCTGTGCCTGCCGAAAACATTTGTGGTGTTTGGGGAAAAGGAGTAAGTGGTATACGATTTGAAGTGACTTTTTGGCTTTAAAATATTTTGAAAAATTTCATTACATTGTCTTTTCAATTTAAAAAAGTCATCTTAACCTATGGCTTTCTTAAATTTCCGTTTCAGTTTGGGCTTGGAAACTCTTCAGCTCTATTCTTGCCTCTTGCTTTTGTCTTTAGTGGCTTCCTAGAAGGTTCCAAGAAGGACCTTGGAAATAAAAAGGTCCAAACCCCAGGTCCCAGGCTCTTACTCCGTGGCTCAGATGGGCGGGTGTTGCAACGGTGGTGCCCATCCTGTGATCTCGGGATGCTCTCTCTCTCTTTCTCTCTTTCTTGCGCTTGCGCGCGCAGGGGTGTATGTGTGTGTGTGTGTGTTTGTGTGTGTGTACCCGTGCCCCTGGCTGAGTGTGTTTGAGGGGAAGAGGCTTGACAAGGAATTGAGTTATAATTTTAATAATTCAGCCATGTAGTATGCTGCAGGGAGGAAAGCTGAGTGGGCCATGAAATCAAACCGACACAGCTAGCCACCAAAATTCCAAAAAGGCCAGTTCCCGCAGCCTTAGGGAGAAGTGACTTTTAACGAACATTCTAGTCTTCAGCCTCTTCATTTCTTAGTATTAGGATTTCATTTTCCTAAGCTAGTTTACTTGCCCAGTGATCCCAGGGTCTCTGGTGTGGCCAGGCCCTAATGTGACCACTGAGGTTAGTGTGTTTCTTTGTGATAGACCAGTAAGGTAATTGTGTGACAGTGACAAAGGAGGGGCCAAGATGCAGAGTTGAGGGGATGCTCAGGAGGTCTTCTTAGACAAGGCGACATTTAAGCAGATCTGAAAGACGAGGAGGTAGCCGTGTAAAGCCAGCCAAGGGCACATGCAAAGTTCTGCAAGTTGGCAAGAACATGGCTTGTTTGAGGAAATGAAAGAAGGGCTAGTGACACTGTAGTTCCGTGAATGGCAGGGCTGGGGAGGCAGGAGGCAAGGTGGGAGGTAGGCAGGGTCCCTCAGGGGCCCCAGAAGGAGTGGAGTTTGATCACAGGGCAAAGGAAGCCATTGAAGCATTTTAAGTATTTAAAGTATTTATGGGGGTGACAGACACTCCTAGGGCAGGAGAGGACATGGAAGGAATTAAAGTCTACTGAGTACCTACTAGGTGCCCGGCACTGAGCTTAGTGCTTTATAGCCTTGTTTCATTGAATTTTCACAAATTTATGGGACACGTGATATGATCATCATTTCACAGGAAAGAAAACAGAGCTTCAGAGAGGGAGTAACACTTGCCCAGGGTCACACAGCTTGATAAGTGAGGGGAGCAAAAATCTGAATGCAGGCCTGTCCAGCTCTAATCTCTTCTTGCCTCCCCACACCTGCATCCACGCAGGGCCCTGATCACCGGTGGTTTGTGGCACCAGGGCTGAGTGGGTAGCAGGTACGAGAGAGGGGTGGATACTTATGGTCCTGTGGCATGCCTCCAAGGAGCTCAGTGCTGCCACCCAAGGTGGGGGGAAGATTTGATGTTTGCCTAATTCCCCATCTGAGGACCTTCCACTTGTACCTGTCCTAATCTCTTTTGCTTTGAGGTCTAACCCAGAGGGCAGAGGAAACCCATTTGCTTGGAAAGATGGTCTCACAGATCATGTGAGCTGGAAGAGATCCAACCATCTCCTTTTGCAAATCAGGGACCTTGGGCCAAAGAGGGAAGGTCAGTGTCCTGGCGCCCCACAGCCAGACAGCTGGGGAGTGGGTATCAGAAGCCCAAGTGTATTTTTATAGCCCCCAGCTGGTCTGCTCTGGGGCCTGCTGTGTCTCACCTTTGTGTCTAGCCTGGGGCTCTGCACCCCTGCCCACCTTAAGTCTATTCTCCACACCACAGCCAGAGCAGTCCTTCAGAAACCCAAGTCAGACTACGAGAGCCCTCTGCTTCTCCACCACGTGGGAGCCTCTGCTCCAGCCACAGGCCTGCTTGTCCCCAAGCTCATGTCTCCTGGGCCTTTGCATCTGCCGGTCCCCGCTGCACTCCTCTCGAGATACCTGCATGGTTCAGCTCTTCCTGTGGTTGGGATTTCTGTTCAAATGTCACCTCCTCAGACAGGGCTTCCCTGACTCCAATTCTAGATGATCCTCCTGTCCCTCTCTCTCTCTCTAGTCCCCACGGGGCCCATGACCACCTGGCAGCATATTTCCATTTGTTGATCTACTGTCTGTCTCCCTACATCTCCCTAGGTGTGTGAGCGCAGACACTGCCTGTTCTGTTCCCTTCTGTCCCCCCACGTGGCCGTAGCAGAGGCACAGTAAATACTGTTCATTAACCGCCTGGGCCCCCGTGTCCTTCTCTTCGCTGGTGGTGAGATGCCGTCACCAGCTCGAAGCCCACGGCCACTTTCCCAGGGGTGAGGGGTTTGTCTAAGTTCCCTGGATCCCAGGAGGCAGGGGACGCGTTCTTGTCCAGGCCTCAGGGGCTTCTGTAACTTACCACCGCATTCCGATGACTCTCTGCTGGGTCCCCCGGCCCAGCCTCTCTCCCCAACTCCACACTCAGCCGCCCACCCAAGGATCCACTTAGAGTCTAACAGGGGTCTTGAACTTAGCAGGCTCCTAACCCAATGCCTGAGCCTTCCCTGCCGACCTGCTCTGCCACACAGGGACTCTAGTTCTCCAGCCGGTCAGGCCGAAGACTGGGAGTCATTCTTGACTTCCTTCTTTCTCTCACACCCCACAGCCATCCCTCGGGAAGCCCGACCTCACGTTGGATCCAGGATCCAGCGGCTCCTTCACGCCTCCAGTGCATCCCAGCTCCCCTTCGTCATCAGTCTCCTCGCTTCCACCCCTGCTAGCCTACAGACCAGCTCGACGGAGCAGCAGGCGTGAGTCCTTGAAGCACATGTCAGCCCAGAATAGGCACATTCACACAGACAGAAGGCAGATTGGCAGTTGTCTAGGGCTGGAGGGCTGGGGAGAGATAGGCAGTGACTGCTAATGAGTACAGGGTTTCTCTTTGGGGTGATAAAAATATTCTAAAATTGATGGTGGGGATGGACGCACAACTTGGTGAATACACTAAAAACCACTGAATTGTTTTTTCAAAGCAGAGAAACATATTTTTAACATGCAGACAGTCACATCATGTCCCTCCTCTGCTCAGGACTCTCAGTGGTTCAAAGTCAAGTCAAAGCCAAGGTCCTTTTGATGACCTGCTAGGGTCTCCTGTTACCCACCTGACCTTTTCCTACAGCCCTCCCCTCCTTCACTCCACTGGGGCCACAGTGGCGTCCTTGATGCCATGCCCATTCCCACTGCAGAACCTTTGCCCTTGCTGTTCCCCCTGCCTGGAACATTCCTTGACCACATAGCCAATGGCTCAGACCTCAGCTCCTTCAGGTCTTGACTCAAATGTCACCTTTCCAGGGAGGCCCCCTTGGCAATGCCACCTCATCTAAAAGGTCACCCCTGACACTTCCCATTCCCCTTCCCTGCTTTATTTTTTTCTTCTTAGAACTTATCCCAATCTGCATGCTATGCATTTTACTTGCTTGTATTTGTCATCTGCTTCCCCCACTGGCATGTAAGCTCCAAAAGGGCAGGCATTTTATCTGTTTTGTCTATGAGAGTATTTTCAGCACATAGAACAGGTCTGGCTCCGAGTGTCTGTGGAATGACCGAATGATGGATGGGATGATGGGGGCAGGGCAGGGGTCTGTGAAACAAGGGCTCCCCCAGCCTCAGGGAGCAGCCTGGGGCTGGGCAGTCTCCCTGGAGCCTCCTGGCTTCTCCCTCCAGCCTGCTTTGATTCCCAGAGATGGCCTTGAGTGGGCAAGGCCCCTGCACTCACTTAGGGCCTGAATCATGGGATTCTTTGCTGACCAAACCACAGGACTCAGCTGAGAGTCTGGTGGGAGGAGTCCCCGGGGGCCTTTTGGGGTTGGTTCCTGGGCCCCCGGGCCTCTCGCAGCATATTAAGCAGCCAGTAGACAGCTCTGTGATTCAGTCTGAATCACAGCTATGCAGGCTCCCCTGGGGGTCAGGGCAGGTGTCAGTCAAGTGGGAGAGACCAGGCAGGCGGGCAGACTGAGGCACGTGGAGACCAAGGGAGAGACACACAGAGAGACTGAGTCAGACCAAGGAAGATCTTTGCATGGTGTCATAATTTCTTTAAAAATAAATTATGGCAAAGAAACTGAGACACTGAGAGACTGAGGGGGAACGCAAAGACAAAACGTGCACTTTGGACCCTTGAGGTGAAGGTGATGGTGGGAGGATGAAGATGCCAGATGCTGAGAGAGGCTGAGGGGAGAGACAGGAGACTGACACACCGGCACTGGGGACACTGGCTGACGGGGCAGCTTTAGGCCCACTGGTTCTGGAGACGGTTGTAGGGTCTGGATCTCAGCTCCTCTACTAACTAGCTGATGTGGGGTGAGTTAGGCGGGTCTTTGAGCCTTAGCCGCCTCATCTATAAAGTGGGGGTCCTTGGAGGACTGATCTCCTGAGATTGTTACCAGGAAGCACCTGGAACAGTGCCAGGGACATAGTAAGTGCTCAGTGATGATAGTTATGATTACTGTAACCAAGAGGGTGAAAGAGCGACCGTACAATAGGGAACAGGAAAATAAGAGGCAAAGAGGGAGACTGAGAGAGATAGTGGGGCAGGAGTGTGGTGGGAGAGGGAGGCTGTGTGGACGGAAAAGAGAGAGGGGAGCCCAGAAGAGGCAGCAGAAGGGCGCAAAGGTGAGTGTGGGAGGGAAGGGAGGGATGGGACGCATGGACCTCTCCTGGGGCTACTGAGGGAGGCCAGCGAGGGAGGGGGCTGGCAAAGGGGAGGGGAGGGGAGGGGGGCAGGAGCACCCTAAGGGTGGGAACTATTTCCTGTATGTACAGCATGCCAAAGCTCTGCCCGCACAGGGCCTGGTGCAACGCTTGCTGGCATGACCGTGAATGTGAGCCTCCTGCCCCCCTGGCCTCCTGGCTCCCATGCCCCGTGGCACTGGTGGTTGCCTAGGTTACCTGTTGAGCTGTTCCTGCAGTGCCTTCAGCTCCCCTTCCCGCTCCTTCAGCAGCTGTTCCTGGTGCTGGGCCTGCTCCTTGGTTTTCTGGAGCCCATGTCTGAGACTCTGAGGGCAGGGAGAGGGTAAAAGGAGGGGAAACGGAAGCTGAAGGAGGAGGACAGAGACCCCAGCCCGGGGCCTGACCTGACAAACACCCCCGTGAGACCCCAGGCCATGTGAAACAGCCCTTGGGTGGAGAGCAGGACTGGGGACAGTGCTGGGAGCTGTGGTGCTTGGCTCTGCCCCTGGGTGAGCCTGGAGCCACCATTTCTTCCTTCGCTAAAGGATGGAAGTTACAGACCTCAAGGATCTGGAAGACTCAGGTGAGGGAGGATGCCGAAGGAAGGCTTGAAAACAATTTGGGTGACCTTGAAGGGAAACATCTACAGGAGCAATTAGGTAGGGCCTGCAATAGCAGAGCGTAGATATTGGGAAGAAACCTGCCAATAATGAGGGCTATGGAACTTGAGAACAAGCAACTGCCCTGAAGAACTGTTGGGAAGGGATTACAAACTCAGATGCCTACAGGGGCTGGGCAGGATGAACAAAGTGGGCCTGGTGTGAGGCAATAGGGAGAGGTGGGTATTGTGGTAAACTGAAGAATGCGTGTTCTTCATGTGATGAACTGGAGAACTTCCAAAAGGCATCCTCAGATCATAATGATCCTGTGTGGCCCAATGCAAATTGGTCTGTGGGTTGGAATGGCCCTGGGCCATCCTTGAAGACACCCACCTGTGGGCTAGGTTAGAGATGGGGAGCAGAGACAGGTACAGAGCTCAACTGCTCTCACCTTGACCACATCCTGCAAGGCCATCTCTGCTTGTTCCTCTCTCCTGGTTGCACTGGTCACTCCTATTTGCTCTTGGGGCTTCTCCGTGGTGGAGCCTTCCTTTGTTTCCAGGCCCTGAAGGACCCAGAACTCCCTGGGGCTGCTGGGCACTTTCCCGCCCTGACGGCTCCCTGACACTGCATCCCTTATCATCTCTTTGGGGCTGGAGGCCAGCAGCCTATGGGTATGACTCCTCTCTGCTTCCCCTTCATAAGTCCCATCTATTGTTCTCTGGCCCTCTGCACTCAGCAAAATCCCCCTGCCCTCAGTATCTGTCCCTATCACCTCCTTCAGAGTCCCTTTGGCCCCCTTGCCCTGTCCCTGGATGCTAGGTGTTGAGTTCTCCAGGCACATCCCCGTCCTTGGAGCTCCTTTCTCCTGGTTTTGCTGAAGCTCCTCCCCCTCTAGTTCCCACATGCTCTGGGGAGGCCCAAGCCTCCTGGGATCTTCTTTCTTCTTTTCCAAAAACAGAGGCTGATGCTTGTGTTGCTGGGACCTGGGGAGTCCAGCCAACCTGTCTTCCCTGGGTGCATCTCGCAGGGAACTGGCTTGCCTGGTATGTGGCTCCTCTGGGTGGCCTCCTGTGGGGTCTCCATATGTGGGTGAGATCTGCAGAGAAGCCGCAAACCCGTCATCCCTCTCAGCACCAATTCACCAACCTGGTTCCTGGGAGAGGCCACAGCCCTAATCCAGTGGGTTTGCTAGATATATGGATTTCTGGTCCTCCCACTGGAAATACTGATTCAGCAGATCTGGGGGAGGGCCCAGGAATCTGAGTGTTGAAAAACACCCCAGGTGACCTGAGGCCCAGGCTTTGATCTGAGCAGAATGCTTCTCAACGCCCTTTCCTTCCTCGCCTCTTGCTGGAATCCTTCTCCCTCCTTTACCTCCATCTTCTGCATTGATCTGATTTCCCCTTAGTTCTTCCCACCGCTCTCCTCTGATCTTCCCCCCTTAACTTGACTTCTCTGTGTCTCCATTTTCTGGTCTGTAAAATGGGAATAATAATACTTCCTTATAGGGTTGTGGTGAAAGCTTAAATAGACCGACAGCCCCTAAAAGTCACCTCTGTCAAGAAGCCTCCTCTGTTCTCCCACGTTCCTGGGGGTGTCTGGTCACTACACTTAACTTGTGTTGCAGTGTGTTCCTTTAGGGTCTGTCTCCCCAGCAGACCTGGAACTCCTTTAGGTCAGAGACTGAGTCACAGTATCTGCACCTGGGGCCTGGAAGCTGGCGGGGGTGCAAAGCAAGCTTGTGGAAAGATGATAACCACAGGCTACCGCTTACTGGCCACGGAGCAGGAGCCTTGCTCTGTGCGGCACCTGGGCTGTCTCAGTGCGACCTCACGATCCCCCCGTGAGGCAGGACAAGTTATGCGCCCAAGGACCCTGGTTAGTAAGGCATGGAGCTGGGATATCAACCAGGCAATCTGGCTCTTCAATCGCTCCCTGAATTGAACTGGGATGTTTGCAAATTGTCCAGCAGAGGTTGTCTCCCTGGACTGTTTCCTGGAAGCTTCTGGTCGCCCTCCCCAGCTTTCCTTCCTCCCAGGGGCCCCAGTGGCGCCTGCAGGCGCTGCCAGCGGTTCCCTGCTCTCCCTGACATCCTCACCACCTTACGAATATGAGCCTTGGCTTCTGTGGCTCCCTAGCCCCAGGTCCACATGTTGGCCTCTCCCTCTCTGTCCAGCTGGGTCAGGGCTCAGTTACTTCTCAACCTGGGGGTCCCAACAGAGATAGAGAAGAGGCAACTAGGCTGAAGGTTGGGAAGAGGCACCTCCTTAGGGGAATCTTTGATCTTTCTGGGTCTTCTTCCTGGGGTCCAGTTGGAATTGGAGCAGCGGGACCTGAAAGTGAAAGAAGCGGGGGGACCCTGGACCTCTCTCCAGCAGTGGTCTTGGTCCTCAGATGCAGGATACCCCATCTTTCCAACCACCCATTCATCCCACCACCCATCCCACTTTCCTGCCCTTCCACCCTCATGCATGCATCCTTCTCTCCATCCACCCACGCATCCTACCCTCCATCCATTCTTCCATTCCGTTTCAACATCTCAACATCCATTCATCCTTCTAACCGTCGACCCCAACCACCCAACAACTCTTTAATGAGTGTGTTCTCTGTGCAGCACCATGGGACATCCTAAGATGGCACTGGGAAAACAGAAGGCTAGGGAGGTGGAGAATCGGGAGTCAGGGAGTAAGAAGAGAGGGAGGAAAAGATGGGGCTGGGGGTTGAGGGCCTGGGGTTAGTTTTGGGGGGTGGTAGTAATGGGAGCAGGCATTGAAAAGAAGCTTCCCTCCACGCTGCCCCCACTCACTCTGAGAACATGGGCCAGGCTCCATCCAAGTCTGGCCGTTGCAGGTCCAAGTCGAAGGTCACCTCGTTGAGAGCATAGAGGGAGTCCAGGATGTCTTCTTGGAGTTCAGGGCACAGCAGGGGGCTCCGGGGGCCATACCACTCCCTGTGTTAACAGGGAGCAGCCCCCTTGGCCTTTGGCTCTGGTGCTATTGCCACCCCCAACCTCAGAGAATCTACCTCCACTCACACCACAGTGGGATGGTTCCCCAGACAGGGTGGTCCTTGGGGACCAGGAGGCCGAGCATCATGGTGCTACCAGGACTGGGGCTCTAACCTCCCCTCTGCCCTTTCTTCCTCGGCTTTCCCTTTATGACCCTTATTTTAGTCATCTTTTTTTTGTGTGTGTGGTACGCAGGCCTCTCACTGCTGTGGCCTCTCCCGTTGCGGAGCACAGGCTCCGGACGCGCAGGCTCAGCGGCCATGGCTCACGGGCCCAGCCACTCTGCAGCATGTGGGATTCTCCCGGACCGGGGCACGAACCCGTGTCCCCTGCATCAGGACTCTCAACCACTGCGCCACCAGGGAAGCCCTATTTTAGTCATCTTTGATATCAAACCACCCTTCTAGGGGTAAAGAGGAATCTTCCCGAAGGAGGGCCACGGGCTCGGATGGTATCAGTGGCCCCACCTGGTTAGCTCTGGGTTCAGGAGGCAGAGCTGCAGGGACTCGGCCAGCTGTCCGTGGGCGAGACAGAAGCGGATGAAGGCTCGGCCTTTTCCCAGCGGGGTCTTCAACTGCACAGCACACGGGACAAGTGGGGGGATGGTGGTATTAGGACAGAGGGAACGCAGTCAGCACAGAGGGAGAAAAGCTAGAATGAGTGGTGCATGAGAAAGGGTGTCCTGGGACTTGAGGCTGTGGGAGGAAAGGGGGTGACCGGAGGGGTGTGAGGGCAGGGCTAACGACAGGTGAGGACCAGGTGAGGGGGGCTATGGTCAGTGGAGCTGGGATGGGTGAGAAAGGAGCCTCGGGCAGGCCGGTGTCCCCTCCGGCCACCGAGCCATCCTCGTCACGGACCTGGGGGCAGGACCCCATCACATCGAGGCCAGCCCCCCTGCCACCTGGCCCTGGATACCTTGTCCTGTGAGTGGACAAAGTGGACTGGCTCCATGTTGCCCCGCTGCCGCCACAGGGCTGTGCAGAGGAAGTCCCAGTAATCCTTCCGAGGCCTCAGGAAGCTCTTCTGCTCTTTCTGGTCAAACTGGGAGCGAGATGAGGGAAAGGAAAGTGTGGAAATGTTTCCTCCCAGAACAGTCTGCGTTCCAGCACGCTGAGCAGTATAGCGGAAAGGGCTCGTGCAGACAGGCCCACTTCAGGTCCTGGTCTGCCCCTGCTGGCTGTGTAACCGGGAGCAAGCTGCTTGACCTCTTTGAGCTTTCAGTGTTCTCATTCATTCATTCATTCCAGAAATACTTATTGAGCACTTACTATGTGCTGGGCCCTGTTTTAAGCCCTGAGGATACAACAATGAACAAACGGAATAAGCAAAACATATAGTATGTTAGATTGCGCTGACTGATAAGGAAAAAAATAAAGTGGGGAAAGGGAGTGGAAAGTGCACGGTGTGTGCATGCACGTGTGAGATGTGTGTGCGGTGTGTGAGTGTGTGGTGTGTATGTGTGGTGTGTGTGTTAAAAAATGTAGATTAAGGTGTCTAGAGAAAGCCTCACTGAGGAGGCTCTGTTCAAGTCCAGATCTGAAGGAAACGAGAAAAGGTTCCATCCAAATTTCTGGGTGAAGAGCTTTCCAGGCAGAGGGAATAGCAAGTGCAAAGGCCCTGAGGTAGGTGCTTTTCTGCTTTAGGAAGATCAAGGAGGCCAGTGTGACTGGAGTGCGGCACATGAGGGGCAGACTGGCAGGAGACCACACAGGCACACAACATATACCACACACACACACACCTCACACACATGCACACTCACACCACACATGTACATGCACATTGTCAGACAAGTAGGAAGAGTGTGTGTGTGGGGGGGGATGGGCTGGTCATCAAGCACCTCAGTGGGTTAGAAGGAAAATTAAACAAGATGGGCATGTAAAGGGCTTAGCTGGGCACATAATATGTGCTCAATAAAAGCTAGTGATAGTGATGACTGGGGCTCTAACCAGAAGCGAGGAAGGCCAGCCCGAGGACACCTGTGCCTCTGAAACTTTTGTCTTTAGACAGCCCCACCTGACCCAGCCCCCCCTAACCCTGCCCCAGCCTTGTCCCACCTCACTTCCCAGGCTACAGTGACAGCCTCCAAGGGTGAGGTTAGATGTCAGGAAGGGTTTGCCGATTGACAGAGATGAGGTAGTGCGTGGTAATGAAGAGAGGCAGTGGCTCTTCCCTCAGGATCTGGGAAAGCCCATTCGGTTATTGGTTACTGGGACCTGGAGAGATGGGAGAGTGGGGGGGAGGGGAGGGCCCTACCTGCAGCACTTGCTCCAGGCAGCCACAGAGTCTGTGCAGTTCAGCACTGGTGTCTGTCACCGGCTGCTGCCCACCCCCATAGCCCTGGAGGATGGCAGAGATGACAGCTGTGGGGAGGATGGTGGACATCAGACCTCAGACGGTGAGGGCTCTGAAGGAAAGGCTCTCAAGACCCCTCACCTCTCCCCCAATTCGGCCCCAGAAACTCTCTCAGCACACACTCACCCTTCAGGTCACTGGTCATCTTGAAGACAGCCCCTTCTTCTGCCATGAGTATTTGAAAAGGACGTGATTCCTTGTGGGTCTAGAGGCCAAGAACGAGCTTCTGGCTTCAGCTGCCCAGCTCTCTCCTTCTACAAAGGAAGAATCACAGCCAAGAGAAACAATGTGACGTCTCTAGGGTCACACAGCGAGTTCACTGGTAGAAGACCCAGCTCTTTCTTGTAAGGCAGGGCGGGAGGATGATGGTGTGGTCCCCACCTATGGAGCCGTTCCTGGGTGCCAGGCCCTGTGTCCTGTGCCTGACATCCTTGTATTATTCAGTCCCCATAATAACCCTGGGAGGTTATTGACTCCATTTTATACCAAGAGAGGGGGGCTTAGAGAGGGTAAGTGTTTTTTCCAATGTCACAAAGTTCTAAGTGGTGAAGCTAGAATTGGAACTCAGGTCCCTGTGCCTGCAGGGCTCATGCTCTCAACCTCGACTGGCTGTGAGCAGCCCTGCGAGTGCTCATGTGTGTAAGCCATGTGGACGCTGGGCTGAGGGGCTGTCACTCCCTCCCCCACAAGGGGACTTGCCAGAGCGGTCATCAGCCCTGGGACACACATTCATCCTTTCCTGGGCCCCAGCTGCATGGAAAATGCGTGTTTCCTGAGGAAAAGGAGGCAGAAGCAAGGCAAAGCCCCAGAGTCGGGCCTGAGCCAGAATGCTGGGGGTGTGTAGGGAACAGGGTTTTAATCCCACTGCTCTCTCCCCAGTGAATCTCAGCCTGTTCCCCCCACAGCGGGTCCCAGGGCTCAGAGAGGAATACTGTGGTCCCGGAGGGCCCGTGGGCTTGTTCTGAGAGCCGGAAGTAAAGACAGGCATGGAGTGGGAGACCCAGGTGTCCTGCCTCCCATGCTGTGGTGGCTGGAATTTGGGAGTGAGTGGGAGTGAAGGAGCGCTAGGACACAGAGGAGGGGAAGGGAGAAGGAAAGGAAGGTAAACGAGGGAGGGTGGGTGGGGAATGGCGTTCAGGGAGCACAGTGCTGGGAGTCAAGAGACCTGGTTCTCCATCCTGGCCCTGCTGCTGGCTCATTGTGTGACCTGGGGCACATCCTTCGCCTTTCTTGGGCCTGGATTTCCCCATCTGTAGACCAAGGGGTTGGACTGAGGGTCTCTGCCGCTCCTTTTAGCTCAGATGATCTATGAACTCCACAGACACCTAGATGGACCTCCTCTCCTTCTTCACCTCTACCCAGGATTCCTCTGCCCTTGCTCCTGGCCGCCCCCAGACCCAGGGGTCTCCTTGCTACTCACCTGGGAAGGCCTGGCTGGTTGGGGCATGGAAAGCAGAGCACTGCTCTGCACAGCCTTTTCCAGAGTTTGCTGCCTGGGAAGTGACTCACGCCCAGCCCAGCAGCCTGGAGGAGGGGGAAATCTTGCTCAGAGCAGAAGTGGAACACTGTGGGGCAGAAGTGGCAGAGGCAGGCTGGAGGGCACCGGGGCAGAATGGTGAGACGGGGGATGGTTCCTCTTAGGCAGACCTGGGGTGGGTTCGCTTGTTGGCCAAACACAGACTGGGACCCAGACTCACCGAGGAGGTAGTGGCAATTGTGGCTCTGCGAGTTCTCTCCCCTTCTCATCACGGTCACTTGCTCTTGTCTTTCTTCCTTATCGCCACCAGGTGGCACAAAGAGGCTATGAGGCTGCCCCACCTTTACTGTCACTTGGTTGGAGTGCGGTGCAGGTGTGGAGGGGAGGACAAGGGTCCCACCTCATGTCTCCCTGCTCTGCCCCATCTCTTCTGAGGGGTCCCGGTGAGTGCTGATCACCAGTGCCATCCCCCCAGTTCTGGGGCTCACCGCTGAAAGTGAAAGCACTGGTGAGATGCTCTGTCCAGGAAGGGGCCCGGTGGCTTGCCCAGGCGGACTGTGGCCCTCCCACCCTGGCTGTGCTTTGTCTCCTTGAGGCTGGGGTCTTTCCACTGTTGGTTCCCAGGGGCTAGTATTGGGGGCAGAGAACAGAGGAGCAGGCATCTGCGAGGACTACCCGTTTCACAACCCCCCAGGAACCGCATGTAAACACTGGAGCACGCGGTACCCAAGCCTGGCTCTGTCCTACCACGGGGACTGCCTGCCCGTCTGTCTCTCCTTCTCTGGGACTTGGTCTCCCGCGTGCAGAGGCTGCGTCCCCCTCTCTGTGCCCCGTGTCCCCGTCTCTCCCTCATTATCTCTCCTTATCTGCTTCCTGCCTCTCCCGTCGCGTCCGCTGGCGCGCTCTCTCTCTCTCTGCCGGTCCGCCGCCTCGGTCGGTCCCGAGACCCCGCGCCGCCCCTCCCCGCGCCACCGCGCCCCTCCTCACTGGCTGCGTCCGGGCGTCCGCGCCCGTGTCACCGCCCCTTGGCGGGCTCCGTGCTCCCCCGCTTCCTGGAGCTGCGGGCCAAGGAGGCCCCGGGAGGGGACGGGCTGGGGGTGTCGCCGTCCCTCTCCCGACGTCGCAGGCTCCCTAGGCCGAGCGGACGCCAGGGCGAGGGGCTGGCTGGCGCCCCGGCCGGATGGGTTGCACCGTGAGCTTGGTGTGCTGCGAGGCGCTGGAGCCCGGGCCTCCCTGCAGCCCCCAGCCCCCGCGGAGCCCCCCGGCCCCCGCGCCGCCCAAGTGCCGGGAGCCCCGGGGCTCGGGCCGCGCAGAGAGCAGGCGGCTACTGCTTCAGGTAGGGCGCCGCGCGGGGTGGGTGGCGGGCAGAGCCCGGCTCACCTGAGAGGGAAAGAGCCCCGCTGGGAAAGCACCGGACAGCGGTCGGGGGGCTCTGGAGCCAAGACCAGGTGAAGGGGCAGCGAGTTAGGCCGAGGTCTCACCTGGCTGTCTTGTGCCCTTGGGAGAAGGGTGAGGTAGGACCTGACTCTTAAAAGCACAAATAGTTCAGGTGAGGTTTTAGGAGCCACCCAAGAGGGGCAGGGCTGGGCTTGCTGGGAAAGGCACTGAAAAGAGTGAATTTCCCCCGACCTGGTCCAGGAGTTGACTGTGTGTCCCACAGGTAGCTGGGGCTATTGCTTCTGACCAGGGCTCTGTAGCCAGGAGGGAGGGGACCTTCTGAGTCAAGGAGGGCCCCGTTAGAGCCAGGACTGACCTGAAGCTGGTGGGGGAGCTAGGCCCTCACCGCTGCATTCTCTGTTCTGGGTAAGTCTTGGAGCCTTGCGAGTGGAAAGCTGATGCAAAGGGGTGGGAATAAGCCGGTGCAAGGAGGCAGGTGTTTGTTCCGGATGAGGCACCTGTCTGTGAACCAGCACACCTGGTTTACGTGTGGGCATTGGATTTCTCCAAGGAGGAGGAGTGGAGGGGATATTTGGGGTTACCAGGGACTAGGCAACACTGCTCTAGGCTCCCTGCGTAATCCCAACCTACCTTTCTGTTTGGGGGCTGTGAAGGCTGCAGCCTCCTAAGATTTGTTTGCTGTGTGGGGTTTGGATTATGCTGGAGTCTTACCTCCCTCCCCCTGGGGCTCACAGGGTTTGGGCAACTCAAAATGTATGGTGTGGCCACAGCCCCTTGCCCTTATCCCTGCGGCAGCCAGTGAAACCAAGTATGTGTGTGCACGTGTGCGTGGGCGTGCACACGCGTGTGTGTGTGTGTGTGTGTGTGTGCGCGCGCGCGCACCAAAGTGACCCCCTCCACCCCACTTGACTGGGTGTCCCTCCAGGTCATAGATTTGGCATATTCGTGGTTGTACTCCACAGTGCCAGGCATAGGGCTACACTTATAAAGCGAACTCTGTCCTTCCCAAGCTCTAGCTCCGGTCCTCACCACGATGACCGACCACGGTGAGGGACAGGCTTGGTGGGGTGTAGTTGTTGACTGAGTCCTCACAGTGGCTGGTGGCCCAGAGATGATCCTGTTGGAGACTTGAGCTTAGCTTTGGGCCCTGGGGGAAGGGTGAGGCCCTGGGTGTGTCAGCTGGGCATCCCAGACTACCGCCTCTTGGTCCCGGCAAAGGGACAGAGAGTGAAGGTGACATGGCGGAACTCTCGGACTTTAGGGCCGTCCCCAGGGGTCATCAGGACTCCTCACCTGCCTCAGAGCCTCATGAACCCTCCTCTGACCTTGAAAGGTTTCAGGGGGAGGTGAGTTCACAGTCTCCCTCCCTTATCTGTTCCTATCTCAGACCCTTCCTGACTTTACTCTCTGTTGGGGGATCTCTGGACTCCCCATCTCCCTACCTTCTCCGCGCTGCATGCGGCCAGCAGTGGGGTGGGTGCCAGGGGGGCCAGCTGGGGGTGGGCAGGGACAGGGACAGGCAGGCAGGGCTGAGATGGAGGAAAGAGCCAGGGGCACTGGAGGTGGGAGATCAAGGAGCGGGGAGAAGGTGGAGGCGGGCCCGGTGCCTGCGTGGGCTTGTGACGGCCACAGGGACGGGCATGGGGACGAGTGTCTGTCTGCATTCGGATGAGCTGGTTTTCTGAGCAGCCTCTTGAGAGACCCTGGCGCTTACGCATGACTCAGCCCGCCTTTAGCTGCAGGATGAAACTCTGTCTCAGTCCCCGCTCGTGCCCACGTCTCCTCTGGCTACCGCTCCAGCAGGGGACGCTGTTGGTGGTGCTTCCTCCCCTCGCCAGGGCCCCGTTCACACCGCACCTCTCGGGAGACCTCAGGCACCCTGAAAAGGGCAGTCAGGCTGCCTATCACCTCACCACAGGAGGTGTTTTACCATGTTCTTGTGGTGGATAAACATCTCTCGGGCTCTCAGCCTCCCTCAGGAGTTAGGGCTTAGAAGCTACTCAAGCATCTGGGCTCCCAGCCAGGGCCACTCCTACTGACAGTCCTGCCCCTGAAACGCCACCATTCCTGCCACACACCCTTCCATCCCCCATTCCGTAGGCCAGACTTCTCTCCTTGGGCCACAGCCTGTGCTCACATCACCTGTCTCCACCCGCAGCCTCACCCCCCACTCTCCCCTCTGGCAAGCCCCCTTCCTACCAGGCCATCCTGTCCTCTTGCCCCTGCACGCTGTCCCCACTCATCCCCCTAAGCAGCCTGTCCTCTTCTCAGACCACAGTGCCCTCCTCGCTCTGGTGGCCTCTCTGTCCCCCCAGACCTCATTGCCCGCACCTCTCTCCTCCCCCGGCTGGAATCTGTGGCCTGTTCCTCCTCTTGGCTTTGAGGAAGATTGCCCGCCTTGGCTCCCATGCCTCGGAGCCTCAGTTCTGGATTATTGGAGCCTGGAGCTAGAGGCCTTGCACGCTTCAGGTGGCCTCTTCAGGGTCCCATGACTGCCCTACACCCCGAGCCCTCCCTTGGTCCCACATAGCAGCCTGCCAGCCTCAGGAGAAGGGAAGGTGGGGCTTGGCATCCGTCCTGAGCATTCCCGCCAAGCCTTCTCTGACCTGGGCGCCAAGGGGCCTGGAGGGCATCTCCAGGTGCCAGCCTCGCCTCCTTGCTCTCTGCTGCATCCCAAGACAGGTGGGTGCTTGTCGGAAGGTGATGGGTGCAGAGGTGAGGAGAGACTCCGGGCTCCCTCTGCCTCCTCTCTCTGAAAGCCAACTCCTGGGGTCAGTTCATCCGGCTTCTCAATAGCCCAGAGCCCTACTGAGTTTTAGGAGATCCCCAGGGGTAAAGGTCCTGCAGCCTCCCCTGCATTCCTGTCATGGGGTCCTACATCTATAATGGAAGTTCTGGGGTCTAATCTAACTCCCTGTACTCTGGCTTGAATTACTTCCTCTTTCTCTTTCTCTAGTTATATATAGTCATAGACCCCAGAGCTAAAGGACCTTGGTGAGTGGTTCTGAACCTTGAAAGGTCACAGATTCCTTTGAGAATCTGATGAAAGCTATGGATTCTCCTGCCAGGGAAATGTGCATGGGCTTGTGCACACACAGATACACACACAGACACACGTGCACACACACAATATCATACACTCAGCCACTGCAGAAACACACACACACAATATCATAACCCCCCTCAAGCCCACCCAGCGTCCTGATCCTTAAAACCCTGCCTTTCACAAATGAGCATCCTGAGGCCCAGAGAGGGGAAATGACTATGGCCCAGGGCCACACGAGTGGGTAGCAGAGCCAGGACCATAACTCAAGTGTCCTGACCTTGCACAAGTGGGAGTTTTGCTCCCAGACTGCCTGCAAGATAGGCAGGCCTGGCCATTCATTCATTCAACAAACTTTTTTTTTTTCTTTTAGTTTTAGGGTATTCATTACCTCAGTGTGTAATAGAATTTACTTCACTGTAAGTTTACGTATCTCTTAAATTTATTTTTATTGAATAAATTGTGTAAGGTGAAGGTATACAACGTGTTGATTTGATGCATTTATATATTGTGATGTGATTCCCACTGTAGTGTTAGCTGACACCTCTGTCATGTCACATAATTATCACTTGTTTTTTGTGTTGGGAACAATGAATATCTAGTCTCTTAGTCCATGAGCATTTTTGAGCACCTGCTGTGAACCAGGCACGGAGCTGGGAGCTGAAGCCAGAGCAGGAAGGCAGGCAGCCCCTGTTCTTGGCTTCAGACTGGGTGTCAGTCCAGGGCGAGAGAGAGAACCGAGTGCAAACAAGTAGTTGCACAAGTGCGTTATTGGAAACAGTGCGACGGAGAAGCCAAGGATGTCATGGGTGCTACCAGAGGGATCGCAGTTAGATCGGGAAGGTGGAAGAAGTGGCATTTGAACAAGGAGCCAAAGTGCAGGTAGAAGTGAGTGAGGAGAAGTGTTCTAGGTGGTGGGAATGGCACACGTGAAGGTCCTGAGATGGAGAAGAGTTGGGACCTCCTAGGGAATTTTACAAAGGCTTTCTCTGGCCGGTACCCCATGAGCACTGCCGTCCACGTGGTGTGTGTGTGTGTGTGGATTGGAAGGGGTGAGAGGCAAAGCAAGGAGACCTGGGGAGGTGGTTGCAGTCATCTGGGGGAGAGATGATGATGGTTTGGGTTAGAGAGGTGATGGGTCATGGGGACGGCTTGCTACGGAGTGAGGCCAGGACTGATTCTGGAGGAGAAGGGACAGGACATGGAGATGGCTTGGAGGTGGGGTGAGAGGGAGCGGGGGTGGGGTGAGGTGAAGATGACTCCCCTCATCTTACAAAGATGGTAGCTGGTAAGGCTTCATTGGGCCTTCCTCCATTTTAGTTTAGTGAAGTGTTTCATAAATACAGAAAAGTGCCCAAACTTTCCACAAACTTAACACACCCCCGTGTCCATGTGACCAGCATCAGTCAAGACACAGAGCATCGCCCACACCCAGAAGTCCCCCTTCCTGTCCCCTTCCGGGCACTACTTCTCCTCTGAGGGTTATTCATTATCCTGACTTCTACCAGCATAGATCTGCCTGCTGCAGAACTTATAAATGGAGCACATGTGTTCTTTTGTGCCTGACTTCTTCTAATCAACATTATGGTTGAGAATTTCATCCATAGTCTTGCGTTTGGCTGTAGATCATTCCTTCTCACTGCTGCCTAGTGTTCCACGGTGTGAAGCTACCACTTCTGCTATTGACAGGCATTTGGGTCGTTTCCAGTTCAGGACTACTGCGCATAGCACTGCCATGAACATTTTCATGCATGTCTTTTGGCGATCCTGTGTTCTAATTTCTGTTGGGTAGACTCTTCCATCTATTTTGATGCGTGTCTCTAGAAGACTCCAGCATCCCAAGAATCCGAGGCGTCATTCTACAAAGGGAGCACTTCAGCGTCTTGACAACGTGGATGGGAGACATCCTGGGGAAGGGGAGAAGATTCTCTAGCTCCCTAACATGTCCCTTTGTGGTGACTCTTCTCATCTTGCCACCCACCCCCTGGCCACATGGGGCTCAGGTGTGGGAGGGGAAGGAGGAAAAAGCCCTAGAGGTCTGCGCTGGATTAGGGGCGGGTGGGAGTCAGCTCACCACCTCTCTCAGCTTCACCCACTCTCTGGGGGCAGGCCCGGGTCCCTGGTGGGTCAGGAGTGCCCGAGGTTGAGGATGGGGCCACGCCCTCTAGTCCTTCTCTCTTTCCCGAGGGCAGGAAGCCAGCCATTGCCTCCTTGTTTGATGTACGAACTTGCCGAGAGCCCCTGGCACCAGGACGGAGTGCGGCGCCAAGGGCAGGCACGCCAAGGCGGCCCTGGAGGGGCAGCAGCCTGTGAGTGGGGAGCAGAGGCCGCCATGTGCAGAGAAGCCAAGTGGTGGGGAGTGAAGGAGACCCGGGCAGCGCCGAGGGTCCAGGTCTTCTTGCTGACTGTCCCAGATCTGATCCCTAAGTTGACCCCTTCCCCATCAAGAGACCCCAGCCCTGGTGCTTCAGGCCAGACCCTCTGTCTCCCAGCCTGAGTAGCCCTAGGGCCCAGGGCAGGAAGCTG